TTCCTTGAATTTCCCTTTCATTCCTACTTTAACAACTTGCAGGTAAATTTTTCACATGACTATTTAACCATCGTTTCTGACGGAGTGTACCGTAGGGAGTTAGGTGCGGAACCGGTGATTTAGGCATGGCGATAGCGGATCTGCGCTGCATTCAGGGTACTTCCTTCTGCTCTCTCAAATGAGCCTGCCAAACCTCGCTGTATATGCGACATTCCTTCACTATTATGAATTCTAATATCATGCACTGTGCCAAGATTTGGCGCAAGGTTGGTCCTGTGTATCTACCATGTAGCACGTTCAGATGGCCAATCGCCACGCGGGCCTAACCTCAACACTATCGATTTTTCAGTTTGAAATTTTCCACGCTGCTACCATCCATATTGAAAAGTCACGAGAACTCGAGGAGGTAAAATAATTTTGGCCTAAAACCCAAGCGTATTTTGTCATTTTCCCGTTTTCCTACTGCTTATTTAAGTTGATAGGGTATTCTATTGACTCTAAGTATTCAGGGATTTACCGACTTTAGGTAACTAGTTCAACGCAATGCACTTTTTTCTGTTCACATAAAATTTATATTGTAAATTTAACATGCGAAAAATTTTGGAATTTTCTTTCGTTAAAACGGCCTAAGACAACAGATGGGTCCTAGATGTGAAACACGTTGAAAGTGAAGGAATGCAAAAATTAAATTAGCATATTCAAAGTCATTTATTAAATGTGTTATAACAATGGCTACAAAGCGGGATCGCGACAGATGTCAAGAGAGCTACAGATGCATCAGTGCCCCTTCCAACACAGACGTTGGAGGAATGCGTGTTTAGCAATTAACTAATAGGGTTAACGTATCAGTGTCGAACTTTTTTGCAATTAGAAAGCACCAGTTTTAAATATGCAGTAGTTTACCTGTGACATTTTGATTTATCAAGCCTATTCTTCGATATCAAGATAGGTTTCCAAACGTAACCTTAACTAATTCGAGGGATGACGGGTCAAATGACAACTTGCTGAATGAGCGCTCACGAGAAAATAGGGAAAATTCACATCGCGAACGAAGAGGAATCGATAAAAATCGCTTCGACAAAGGAAACGTATGCCTAAGCGCATTCGGAAAAGGAAATGCCTTGGTACATTGCCCTTGTACTACAAGTGGTAGAAATTTAAACTTACCCGACGCAATCACAGCACTATATTACTGACTTTGGTCGTCAGTAACAATATTACTGGTTCTAGACTACAAACTCAAGCCAGCGGTACTGACTGCTTCCCATTAGTACATGCTAGAGCTAGACGATTTACTAAACCCTTGGCACCGATCATGTGCGTACATTGTTGTTTAGTGATATTTTCTTCATTTAAAGCCTAGTTCTGGTCGTGGGCTGTCCTGCTCCTGATTTATTTCTGTCGTTCATACGATACTACAACGTCATGTACTGTGAACCGATAAAAAGTTGCAATGTGGTTCCGCAATTATTCATTAAGAGAGGATTTTTAGAGATGAAATATTTTTGACCTTGCAGCCTTAAGCATGTTTTTGCGTCCATGTGTGGAGGGTGAAAACGCTAGCAGAAATATAACTGCCGCCTTGAGCTAGGCGGTACTGTGAAACGTTTCGTCATCGATTTTCTTCCGATAACGTGTCGTCTAAGGGACGAATAATGTAATTATGGCTGGTTACACCACGGTTCTGAGGGCACAGGGATATATTCAAGCGCGTGAGATTCCGTGTAGTGAGGAAAATGCGCTAAACCGTCGACCTCACTGCGTCCACCACCTTCAGCATCAGGTCGCCATCCTATGCGGTCAGATGTGTAATGCAGGTATGCGTTAAAAGAGGATAGGTACACGAGTGTGCGTAATATTCGAAGGGTTAAACGCTGTTTACCAAATGCAAGCAAGTCTGCTAGAGAGTGTGATTTGCGAGCTTGAGTGTTGGGTAAAAATAATGCAATTTCACGTAAACAAATTTTGGTGCCATCACCGGGAGAGTTTGTACGGCACGCTTAGCTCTTGCGGAGACAGTACGGCCCCTTCTTCTTCTTCTTCTTCTTCTTCTTCTTCTTCTTCTTCTTCTTCTTCTTCGAATTCTTCTCCTCTTCCAATTCCTCCGCAGAAATGTGTAATTTCAAAATGACTCTGGCTTTTTTTCATATTTAGCATCTACACCTCCTAAGTTACGACTTTTGTTTCCTTCGTCGTCATTCAGTATCCCCTTCGCGGATACTGACAGTGGCTTTACGACTGACAGACGCGGTGTGACTTGCACGGTCGTCTAGAACGCGCATAATTTTCCAAGGATGGCTGAAAAATTCACCAGCAGACTCAATGGTGCCTACTTGCGCAACAACTCCAACGACATGCTGAACGCTTCTGAATACCGGAAGGTCAGACCCAGGAGGCATCCGTGGCTCCGGCGTTTGCGCAAACATCTCTGGTGCAACAGGTCAACCACGCAGCGAGCTATACTAATGCGACTGCTTCTTCTGGGAATCACGCTGGTGATGTTTTGGATGGCGTTTGACGTATCACTGGATACAATAAGCCTGAATTATAGATTCATGATCTTTGCCTTTCCACAATTTGCGGAACTGTGCCTGTCTATGATGCGAGTTCTGGTTTCTTGGAGCTCCTTTAAGCCTTCGGAGATGTGGTGAGTGACTCAAACTATTTTTTTTTATTCACTGTCTGGCCTATTATTTAGTTACTGTGTCTTCAGGGATGTGCAAAATGCTGCCCAATACTCTTAATTGCAATAGAAATCCTTCTTTATAGCCAACGAACCAGATGAATAATCTTAGAGGTCTCATCACAGGACTTCACAGTAATCACATTCGAGTCAATTTACTAACACATCCAGTTGCCCCATTTAAAGTCTATCAAATGTCGTGTCATGTCATGCTCAGTTAAAGTGCAGCCTTTGATCGGCGAGTAGAGGCAGTGGACATTTAGAGTTACATTCCTTAGTACTCCGAAATTGAAAAATGAACGCTTTTTATCACTCACATTTATTGAGGATTAGTATTTTGTTACCCATTCATCAGCACTTGCAGCGTACCAGAGTACCAAAATCGCTTCAACGAAAAGTATTTGTTGGCTTGAGATAGGCTTATGATGGTATATGCAGCACCGACTATATTTCCGAGGACAAAACTGATGCTTTTTATAAGCAGTATAATCACCAGGCAACGGTGGACAAAGATCTCGGGCTGCTGACCATTTTCGTTCGCAGAGTTCAGTCCTTTCGTCCGTGATTACCAACTTGATCCACCTTGTGCCCCACGGAGTGGTTGTAGGTAGTACTATTTGCGCTTGAAAACGTCAGCAGTACACACAGATCTTTGCTCATCCTCTTCACTCTTTCCTCCCTCACCCTTCTAACTACTATGACTACAATACGTCAAAAAGACCAGGGGGTGAAAAAGGGTGTTCTGGCTGACGATTTAAGCAGCCTGCTAACACCTATCAAAAGAGATTGACCATGCTTTCACAGAGATAAGAAATATATGCTTTCGGCAGTTCATCATTGAGCCGATATAGTTGCATGGAGAAGAAGCCATCCAAATATGTACAATTCCTTTATCGTTCTCATTGCATGGGAGGTGGATGCTTAGTCATCCCTTTGTTTCCTCGTCTCGTGCATGTCAGAGTCGGCATGTCGACGTTGGCGTGCAGAGATAGGGAGGATGGGTAACGCTCTCAAAGTAGGCTTTCTGAGGTCTGTAAGTCTGACGCGCGACGTGCTTCTGAGTGTCCTCTATGGCATCTAGCGGCGTGCGATTCCCATCTGTAGTCAGCCAGGGAGACCAACCAATTGTTTCAAGGTTTTTTGACAACAGAAAACTGGGTTTGCTTAACTGATCTCCACAGCTTTGGCTATGGCTGGCATCGGTTGGCGGAGGCACTTGGAGAAGTTACCTAGTGGCCGGCAGACAACCTGAAGGGCTCCTTTAGAATAAACTCGGTGATTAGTATTAACAAGGTGTGCGAGAATATAACTCGAGATTGACCAAGTTTTACCTTCACTTAGCCAAACTGATATGCTTTCACGTACCCTCATTATCGGGTGCCTTGTTGGTCAACCAATGGACCCTGCGCAAACTGGGCAGGTGAAATAGTAAATGCCCATGGGCGTGACCTTTAACGGGTGTCATTATTTACCTCCCATTTGTAGGAGAGACAAGTTCGTGAAAAACAGGCGTAAGTCCGTCGCGGAGAAAGCGCTTGTGATCGCAGTCCTCAGGTGTCGTTCTATCAGCTCACCTGTGCCATCGCCTGAGAACCACAGTCTTATGACCATGTCTTTCTTTTCTGCAGTAAGAGTGGAAGGCCTTTTGAGGCGTTCGCTAATATTCCTGAGGATAAACCTTTTGGATATCCATTTTCAAGAAACGTTTTCTGCAGCTTTCGGAATTTTTCTTGAAGAGTTTGAGAAAAGAAGATCTGTCTCACTCTAGCTGCCAATCCCTGAGCTAGATTGAATTTTATATGTAGGGGAATAATCGTGAAAGTTGATGTACTGTTCTGTCCGGGTTTTCTTTCGGAATACCCTACGTTGGATAGATCCATGGAATCAATGCAATTGTACCGGCCTAATGATGACTTGGCGAAAAAAATATATTGACAAATAGACCTTAAAATTAAGAATGAGTATATTTGCAGAAATAGGCGGCTGGGGATGCATGTCAGTGAGAGCGTCATAGGTGCTACTGTCTGTGGTAAGAAGGTGCTTAAAATCGGATAGTGGGCATGCAAATTAGTGTGGCGTTTTACCGAAGAGTCCGTCGACATCCAGGCTGTTTTAATTTGCTCTGGTATGTGATCTCTACTACGGTCCTCGGCGGAGGTTCACTTCCTTTTGTAATTCTATATTTGTGAGGTATTTTGTCGGTTTTTGGTAGACTGACGTTGGCATTTTGCCGTCCGTCCGTCCATCGAAACTTCATATCTTTAAAAATCTTCCCCGATGAACGCTATTTCTTTATTTGATTGTGGATAGATAAGCCGATTTAGCTACACCTTTACCTAAAAACGGTATATTACTATGGTAACCATTGGTTATGTCAGCAGACCCATGTTATAGAAGAAGTCAAGATTAGTCAGCCTTTTCCCTGGGTCAAATCGAAATGTGGACAATGAGAAACAGGGGCCGGCATAAAGCTTATCCTGCTGTTGTGCGAAACTTGCGTATAATCTATCCTCACATCAAACTGCAAACTGATTGGGGTTCGTGTTTGAAAAGGAATCCTTGGAGGCTGTCTGATGCACCACATTAAGCACAGGGACAGTTCTGTTCGGAAGTCATGCAGTATTTGCAGGCAGGGACTGATCATGTCACTTACCATACTAACAGACAAGGTACTTGCTAAAAGGCTCAGACACGTGTTTCGCCGGTATTCTGCCGCTG